ATTTTTGGGAGTGGGAGGGGGGAAGAGAGAAACATTGATGTGAGAGAGACACATCGATTGGTTGCCTCCTGCTTGCATCTCGACCAGGGTTGGAGAATTGAACCTGCAACTGAGGTATGTGCCCTTGACCAAAATCAAACACAGGACCCTTCACTCTGTGTGCTGTTGCTCTAACCACTGGGAAAACTGACTAGGGCAATAGTGGTGCTTTTTACTAGATCTAGGAAAGCAGGGAGGTGAGTTTATGAACAAGATGGGCCCCATTTTGGTCGTGTTAAATTTGGTGCTGAGGCACATTTGCATGGGACTGCACAGGCTGGTAGAAATACTGAACTCAAGACGTGGGCAGATGAAAATGTGTCACTGAGTGACCTCACAGGGAGGAACTGTAAAAAAGGGATCTCAAAGGGATTTGAGGAAGGATCACAGAGCCTAGAACTAGAGAGATATGTCTTAGAAAGTGGAAGGCCCAGAAAGCAGTCTAGAACAGTTTTGTGTTTTTTTTAAATACTTTACTTTTATTGGTTTCAGAGAGGAAGAGAAACATGATGAGAATCTGATAGGCTGCCTCCTGCACACCCGCTACTGGGAGCAAGCCCACAACATTAGAACCCTCATATATCGCTGGTGGAAATGTAAAATGTGGGAACATGAGGTACTCTATGACCTAGCAATTCCACTCTGAGGTCTATGACCACAAGAATTGAGAATAAGTCCACATGAAAATTCTATGTAATACTCATAGTATTTATAAATGCCCCCAAAAGTGGAAATGATGCAAATGTTCACCACCTAACTCAGTGGTCGGCAAACTGCGGCTCGTGAGCCACATGCAGCTCCTTGGCCCCTTGCGTGTGGCTCTTCCACAGAATACCACGTGCAGGCGCGCACATACAGTGCGATTGAAACTTCGTGGCCCATGCGCAGAAATCAGTTTTTAAAGAGGTACTAGAACACTCAAGGGGCCAAAGAGCCACGGTTTGCCGACCACTGCCCTATCCAGTGAGCCAAACCAGCTAGGCAAGTGACTTACTTTTTGTATGGGAATTCTTTTTGGAGTGGTGAAAATATCCTAGAATTAGTGGTGATACTAAAAACCATTCAACTGTATGCTTTAAAATAGTGAATTATACAGCTGTTTTAAGAAAGTGTGGGGCTTGGGCTCAGCAGTGGTAATGCTGCAGGTGAGACAGCCTGGGATCCAAGCATGGCAGGAAGCTTGTCCAGTTAGGGTTAAGACAGCCCCTTCCCCTCTTGTCCAACATCTGTCCCTCCTTCCTTCAATCCCAATAGTCTGACCCTGAACACACTTGGTAGTTTTGTCCCTCTTGCCATGATTGGTTTAGTACACAGGCAACTCAGTTCTGCCTAGTGAAACCTGGGTGGCTGAGGGGCCTGTGGGAAATTTTGTAAAAAAATATATATATTTTTAAGATAAATTATTTTTTTTTAAAATTATTTTATTGATTTTTTACAGAGAGGAAGAGAGAGGGATAGATAGAAACATCGATGAGAGAGAATCATTGACCAGCTGCCTCCTGCACACCCCCTACTGGGGATGTGCCCGCAACCAAGGTACACGCCCTTGACCGGAATTGAACCCGGGACCTTTCAGTCCCCAGGCCAACGCTCTATCCACTGAGCCAAACCGGTTTTGGCATGATTTTTAGAATTGCTTTTTAGGGAGGGAGAAAACATCAATGGGCCGTGGGGCATGTGCCCTGAAGGGGAACTAAACCAGCACCCTTTCAATGCAGGAGGATGACCCCCATGGAGCCACACCAGTCAGGGTTCACTCCTTTTTTAAAAAATATATATTTTATTGACTTTTTTACAGAGAGGAAGGGAGATAGAGTTAGAAATATTGATCAGCTGCCTCTTGCACACCCACCCTGGGGATGTGCCCGCAACCAAGATACATGCCCTTGACCAGAATTGAACCCGGGACTCTTCAGTCCCCAGGCCGACTGCTCTATTCACCGAGCCAAACCAGTTTCGGCTTCACTATTCTTGAAAGAGAAAAAAGGGAAAGAAATCTGCTTCTGGACATTTTTGACAAGCTGAGGCCTGAAGCAGAGCTTGGTGAGGTGGGTGGACTTACTGAGGGCAGCACAGGACAAAGGTTGTAAAGAGCCTAGAACAACCCTACCTTGTCTTGAGACAAATCCTCCTTAAGCCTGTCACGCCCAACCCCAAAGCATCCGAATGTAGTAACTGGTGATTCGTCCCGAGATACAAGAGTGGGCTTGAGACGAGGGGAAGGGAGTCCACGTTTACATTTTCCTATGACCAGATTTAGTTCCGGTCGGGGCTGGCACTGAGCTTACTATGATGGCTGTCTTCAATATCCTTATCATATTTCAAGTCTGGTTTCTTGGTTTTTAAGCCAAGGTACTCTTGTGATCCACAGCCAGTCAAATCAGTAAACATTTCCAGGAAGGAAAAACAACAAAAAGTGAAGCTCCGCCCAGCCGGCGTGGCTCAGTGGATGAACCATGTCACGGTTTGATGCCCCATCAGGGCACATGCCTGAGTTGTGGGCTCAGTCCTGTGTGGAGCGTGCAGGAGGCAGCTGACCAATGATCTCTCATTGTTGATGTTTCTCTCTTTTCCCCTCTGAAATCAATTAAAAAAACCCACTAAGTTCACCCTACCCATCCTAATTTCTAGGTAACAGAAAGAGGGTTTCTCACGAGTTTAATCTCAGCCAATTATAAGTGTTTCTTAATTACACAATGAGGGTAATCTATCTAGGATTGGCCTAAACATTAGATGAGCACATGGCAGAGCTTCTAACAGTCCCACAGGCTCATTTTACTGAATCTGAACTCCTACAAATATTAATAAAGTAACCCCATTTCCTCAAATCCTGCAACTTCTGCTCAAATACCAAGCTATTGAACCCCTACTTCTAACAGCTGTAATGGGTCCATTCTGGAAGATGTCACCCCCTGCCACCAAATAAAAATTATTACATTGCCGAAACCCGTTTGGCTCAGTGGATAGAGCATCGGTCTGTGGACTGAAAGGTCCCAAGTTCGATTCCGGTCATGTACCTTGGTTGCGGGCACATCCCGGGTAGGGGGTGTGCAGGAGGCAGCTGGTCGATGTTTCTCTCTCATCGATGTTTCTAGCTCTCTGTCCCTCTCCCTTCCTCTCTGTAAAAAAATCAATAAAATATATTTAAAAAATTATTACAACCTGAAACTATTTCAAGAATGAAGGCAAATGGCTGGAAATTACTTAAGTGGACAAATTATACTTTATACAAAAGGAGCCTCCCAAGGAGAAGTCAGACATTTTTGACACAATTGGGGGGTTGAATCCAGACTACTCATGAGATGTGCACATAACCGCTGCTCTTCAGATGTGCACATAACCCGGAACAAGTTTCTTCATCCGAGCCCGTTTCCTCATCCATAAAAATGGTGGTTAATTTACATTACACAATTGTCCCAAGACTGAAAATCAGGTAGAAAACCTACCAAGGAAGGGCTTCACTGGTATGAGTTTTGACTAAGCAGATAAAAACACCCCAGCCATGGAAACGTACTTTTTTTTTTTTTTTTTTTTGTTATGTTCAACTTACTTAATTCCCTCAAAAAAATATTAGTGATTTGTGCTGCATTTATTGCAAGTTCCATTTCCTAACAGATTAACTATTTCCCTGGAGGAAAGGGGGTCTTTGCAGAATCTCCGAACTAAAGCAATCCATCTCTCCTTTTGGGAACTCCAGGTCACCAGTGACAAGAGTTTCATCAATTCACAGAAGACTCGCAGGTCTGCTGGAAAGCAGACTGCCTTCTGCCTTCGTCTTATGGTCAAATGTATACAGACAGAGAAGCACTTTCTCCTGACACAGGACTATAGTTGGATCTATTAACGTTCATTTTACGGGGATTTTAAGCGTTAACTGTAGAGTTATTTTGCTGTTAACTACCAGGCTGACATCTTACATCTACCAAAAAAGTACACTGCGCGACCAAGCACAAAAACCACTGTCTACTTCCTACTTCTGGGATCTTTTCTAACTCCCTCACACTGTATTCTGTCAGCAGGACAGCACTGTTCACTCTTACAGACAGATAGTACTTGGAGCCTTTACACCGCACACCAGAACAGTCCTGTCCTTAGACTTGGGAAAAGATTAGAGGCAGCATTCCAAGCCAAACTGTATCCAGCTTTATTAAAGATACTTTTCATAAACAATCATGGTATTTCAGGCAGGACATGGGCAGACAATCGTTAACAGTATACAACAATTTTCAAACTCCCTTCTTCAATGAACTACCAAAATCAGAAAGCCACTATAAAACCCAATGAAATCTTCATGTGATGCTCTGAACAGGGAAAGTTTAGAGTGAGGGTTGACATTTCACATTAAGCATGTTGTTTGACAACTTTTCACAAGCCGACCCTGACTTTCAGGAAATGAAATGAAAATGGCCGAGAAGATCACTCTGTAGATCCACAATCTAAAAAGGAATTGCCGCTCTTTTGAGGAATGCCATCTCAGTGGTGACACTGGACAGTCCAGGTTGCACAACATACTGGAAATCAATTTTTTTGGGTCAGGTCCCAATAGGTCTCTGGGCTTAAGACAGCCAAAATCTATGCTTAAAGTGGAGAGGGAGAAAAGGACATAAAAACGAATTTTAGTTTTTCCACCACGACAAAGTGTTTGTGCCAAGATGGCTAATGTGTGTCAACATCAAGAGATCCCTCCTCCCGGGAACCAAGAGGAAGTTTCTCAAAACTAGAAGGGAAGGGTATCTCCCCCCATGTCAGTCCAGCTTTGGAGACATCCTATTAGTATGTGTCCTTCCCCCCAAAAATAACAATGAAGTGTTCTGTGTGCTAACAACATAGCTTAAAAAAAAAAAAAAAAAAAAAAAAAAAAAAGTAAAACAAAATTCTGCATTTTTATAAAACTTGATAAAAAATAGTATTTCAAACTGTACAGTCACCAGAAATACACAGTTATCAAAAATGCACACACTTCACTTGGCATCTCCAGCACCTTCAGCTTTCTGTGCCTAAAAGAAAAATAGACAGATTAGTATAGCACTTAAAGAGTTTGAGACTATGTTCACTCATATCCCATATATAACATTATTTTGCTCTTGGGCCAGCCAAAGTTCAGGTTTCAGATACTTTAAAACTGAGACTTAGTACTTCTTCTGAGAATAAGTTGGTAGGAAACTTTGCTAAAATCAGCATTAGACCTGAGGTTATTCTCAGCTTCAAAACTCTATAGGGTAGCAAAAGTGTGACACCTAGGACAAAAAATCAATACCACAGTGCCCTTTATTGAATAGCAAAGACTCCAGGAATCCAGGACTTAAGCGAATAGGAAATCACAAGCAAATTCTAACTGAAAGATATACTTGGAATGATGTAGATGCAGGAAAAAGGCAACTAAGACCTCTTGGGCCCAGTTAACAATCCAATGGGCAAGGCTTTGCAAAAAGTGAGGTAGCAGTTGTACCTGGTCTGTTTTGGCATCTCCATTTTCTGCAGGATTATTCCCATCTTTGCCAGCATCAGCTTTCCCCTTTTTCCCTTTCGGTACCTTCTCTCCCTTCTAAAAGAAGGGAGAAAGAAAAAAGCTGTTTCTCCTAACTTGGCATTACCACTGTGTGGCCTAGAAAGTTCTGTACAAGGCAGGATTATTTATTAAAGATAACATACAAACTATAAACCCTCTCTCACTGAGAACACTGATCAAAACTAGGCCAAATGATCTATAATTTGCTGTGTATACAGCAAGTATACAGAATTTTTTATCTGAGTATAAGTAAAAGGGTAGAATAAGATAGCTTAAAACTTAGATGTTAACTACCAAAGATGTGCAATTTCCTCTAACTAATGATAGTTCTTTTATACAAACCGGGGGGTTTATAAAGTTTTTATAGCGCTGGGAGCCCCGGACCGGTTAGAACCGGATTTCAGGGATAAGTCAAGCTATCAAAACCATTTAGAATACCCATAACGGAGTCACCATTATGCTGCATTTAGATGCTGAAGGACAGTCCTCATTCTGTGCAAGTGAACAATTAGGGCATAATTATAAGGCCCAGTCCTGTTAACTTTTGTCATATCTCAACTTTGTGCCAACAGATAAGCTGTATATATAGCAACCCCCCCGTAAACATGAAATCCCGCTCAGCCTTTTGAGACTCCTAGAAACACCTTGTCCCCAGTCCCACTCACCTTTGCAGGGGCCTTTTTAGGCTTGGGCTCTGGCTTTGGAGGAGCAGGTTTCTTTTATTTGGAGGAGAGAGGGGAGGACAACATCAGTATGATGAGCCAAAGAAAAACAACCACCAAATCACAGTCGCACCGAATTAGAGATCTTCCATACTTCATAAAGATTTTGTGGCTGACTTCCCATGAAAATTTCCAACCTTCAGAAACCCACTCAAGTAACAATCAGGAGTGTTCCACTTTGACTATCAGCCATGATAATTTCCTAGCCAGTGAATCTCAAATGGGTGAGAGTCCACAGTGTAGCAGCAGCTCATTAAAACCAGCCACTGACCATCACTCATGGGAAGCTAGCTTCAGGAATAAATGTGAAAATTTAAAAGCAGACATACTTACAGCTGATAACCTTGCAGATCTTCTCTGTGGCTATTTAAAAAAAATAGAAAGTGAGTAAGTTAGAAATAAAATAGTCCAACCACTTAAAAATAAAATAAAAATCTTAATGCCAATCTGTTTTAGGCTATAGGATGTGAAGAGAACTTGGGCAAATTCAGGAATAGGAGTATGATTAATTACCACCAGACTCCAAAAGAGAACAAACAAGACTTACTTCGTCCTTCACCTTGGCTTTATCTCCTTTAGCATCCCCTTCAGCCTGAGAAACAAAACAGAAACTCAGAAACCTGCAGCCTCCGAGGCAGTTTTTAATGACTCACTAAGCTTAACCCAGTCCAAAGGAAAGAAAAGTAGTCTTGCACACAACTTCCGTAGGATATACAAATCGTCTTTTAGCATCCGTGCCTCCTATGCAAATACCCGAAGAGCTTAGAAACTGTGGGCGTGCTCATCTGTGTACACATCATGCCAAATCCAGCCCAAAGCTCGCAGGGCGCCGGAACCTCAGCCTCCCAAGTCTCCGCCAAGTGGCCCGAGGGAGACGCGCTAGGCTGGAGGAGGGCAGCGCAGGGCAGCGCAGCCTGCGCCACCGGGCCAGGCAGAGGCAGCAGCAGAAGCAACAGCTGCAGCTGGTGCAAACAAACCCGCTCGGAGGCGGGGCCCGGGCGCCGTTGCCATGGCAGCCGTCGAGGGCGGGAGCCGTGAAGCTCGCGCGCAGCCCCGGGAATTCGTGGGCGGCAGCGTAGCGAGTCCCGCGCGCCTGGCGTGGGAGGGGGCGGAGCCACACCGCGAAGCCCCGCCCCCTCCCGGCGGCGGTTTTTTTGGCGGCAGCGCGTCACCCCGCCCGCCAAGCCCAAGCACCGCCTTCCCGCCTTTTCGGGTTTGAATTGCCCGCCCGCGGGGAGGGGGGTGCCGCTGGGGGAGGGGGCGCGGGGCGGGCACGTCTAGCCCGAGGGGAGCGGGGTAAACAGCCACCAACATGGCTCCTCCTGCCGCGGCCGCCGCTCCTCCAATATGGCCTCTGGCGCCCGCGGGCAGCCGAGATGCGCAGGGTTACCCGGGGCCGCTGACACCGGCTCTCGAGCCGGCGGTGGGGGCAGAGCTGCTCTAGCCCCGCGCCGATCCTCGCGCCCGAAGCCCGGCAGGCGGCAGCGGCGGCGGCGGAGGCGGCAGCGGCGGCGGCGGCGGCGGCAGCCCGGCGCCCCGGGCCCTCGCGCCACGTACCTTTCTCTTGGGCATGATGGCGACGGCGGCGGGACGTCCGTGCGGGACGCAGGGATGCAGCAGCGCGCGGGCCTCGCTCGGTCCGGGGGTCGATCTCGTCTCCTCACACTGCTAGGGCTCCGGGGGGTTTATAAAGTTTTTATAGCGCTGGGAGCCCCGGACCGGTTAGAACCGGATTTCACCTCCCGCCGCCGCTCATTGGCCCAGCTGGGGTCACGTGGGCGGGGTTTAAACTCACCTCCTCTGGAGGGAGTGAGGAGGGGGGTCTGGGGGGAGGGCGCGGAGACGGCGGCGCGCTTTGGGGTGGGGGCGCAGGGGAGGCGCGCGGAGAAGGCAGTAAATGAGGGGGGGGAGCCCGCGGGCTCTGGATTTCGGCATCTCAAGAGCCGGCTTTTGCAAACTACCAAGTTCCTTCCACCTTATGCAACCGAGCTGCCCACTTCTCCAAGCTGCGCGACACTCGGCCATCGCAGCCGCTCTCCTTCCTGTTCCCGCTGGGGCCCAGAAGAAGGGTTTTCAAGGCCTGCAGCGCCGCCGGGGGCGGGAGAAAGCGCGCGGCTGGAGGCACGGGCTGCAGTTCCCAGGCCAGAGCTGACGCCGAAGTGGGAGAGAGCGGGGGCCAGCTTGGCGCAGCCGGACGTGCATCCTTCCAAGCTGCCACCCGGGGGAAGCTGCCGTGCCTCTCACCTGGAAGTCAGCCCGACAGGGGCCTGGAAGGTGGAGCGGGACTTCGTAGGGAGACTACACGGAGAGGTTACTTTCGGGTGCCGAGGGGCAGGTGGGAGCTGTCCTTTCAGCACCCGTTGCCCGGCAGCCTCCCCAAATATGCACGAAGCCCCCCGCCAAAGCCTAGGGCAGCTCTTAGAGGTTCCAGTTTCCCGACCTCAGGACCCTGTCACCGAGTGATGGAGATCCGCCGCCTGCCTACCAGCTCTCTCCTCCCCCTACGCTCCACCCGCTTCGGAGACAGCAAGCTCAGCTGCCCCCACCCGACGCGGCCACCAAGCCTGGGCGCTGCAAACGCAGCTGGCGAAATCCCTCCTTCCACACTGGCAGGCTGGCTTCCTTTCACTTGCGCGAGGAAAAGGAGGGTGGAGGAAAGCGTCCCGCGATTAGGAAACAAGTAGGGGAACAGGTGGTGTGATGGCAAAAGGGTTCTTCCATTGGCTCCCTTACCCCACATGCCCCCAAAAGCTAAGGATCCTGGAGGTAGCCAGGTCACCTGAGGGAAGGTAGACAATTGCAGCAGCAAAACAAGGTTTATCTTCTGTCACAATCTTAGCAAACAAGTTTTACATCTAAGAGTTCTTCAATTCCTGTGACACCAGGGGAACATAAGAACACGATCAATATCCTCAAGTGGGGGCTTAGCTCACGGGTGGGAGGATATTTAAATAGGTCCCACCTAGTTTACTGAGGCGAGGGTAGAAGCTGGTTGGTACAAATGTCTGTAGGAAGCAACCACAATGCGGCCACATCAACTATCTGCATCCCCTGCTCCTGGGCAGCAGAGGCCCCTTAGTCTCTTTCTTTCCACCTCTCCAGTGCTCCTGGGGCATCCCCTGCCCATCCCACTCTGAGTACCTTTCCCAGAATGCAGGGCCTCAGGCCAAAGAGAGATACCAGCCCCATTAATCACTTCTGCACCCCAATCATATTAGGGAAAACCCAGAAAAGACAAGACTCAGCCATGCTCACAGGGCAGGTTCCGCTGGCTGCCTCCAGTCCCATTCCCTTAATTGTAGGGCTCTGCATTATAGCCCCATAATTCATGCCTCCCTAATTAAGGCTGTCAACTGCCCCACTGTAAAGATGCAAAATGCACAGCACCTGCTCTCTGGGAACCCTGTGCCAGGTGTGAGGGAGGCTTGCCAAAGGGTGCATCAATCCAATTCTCAATCGCAGTGTCTGCCATTTAAACATGAATCTCTTGTACCAGGTCTTTAGGCAGAGGAAGGCGGGAAGACTAGAGTATAGGGAAGTCAGGGGTTAGAGAGTATACTGGCAGCACTGCTTGCAAGACCCCAACCCTCCCCTAGGAGGTGGAGAAACCGCTTGCAGAGAGTAAGATGGGAAGACTGGAGCAGCCGTTGGATGGTATTCTGGCTGGTCCTGGCTGCTTGGGGGCACCTGAGGCAGAGGCTGCTCTTCAAAGGCACGAATCCTCTCCGCACCTCTGCAGCGAGGCCTGGGGGGAGAAGTAAGCGAAAAGACACAGCTCTTGACTCAACCCTCTTCTTCCTTGTGGGCAGCCATGCCCTCACAAGCTGACACTCTGACATGCTAAGAATAGATGGTCTCAGGGCCTACTTAGGAAGCCAGGCCTCAAAAGGCAGGAGGTGGGAGACAGAGTGTGAGGTGGTGAGGGCAGGAGGCAGTCATTTAGGAAGTGGCTCTTTCTGTGTTCTTGGTTCTGACGTGTTCCAGGCAAGAGGCCTGTGCTGGACTAGATTCACCAGGGCCTACAAGGCCTTCTTTTACCCTGGAGCCTGGCCTCGAGCCCTGCAGCAGGAGGAGGAAAGCTTGTGTGGGCTGAGTCGACAATAGGTAATTGGATTGTAATCACCCGCCAGGCTTCTGTGCCATTGGGGGCACTGAGCCTTTCAGTGAGCAATCAGCACTGCATGGTGGGAGGGGGTAGAGATTCAATAGCAAATCCCAGGTGGAGAGCCAAGGCGGAGGACCAGCAGATGGGCAAATTTTCTTTCCATCTCTCCTCCTTGCCCAAATGATGCTGGCTGCCCATTAGCTATTTACCAGCAGATCTGAGGTGGAGCCAAATCTTTTGTGAAAGTCGGGTGGAAAGCTAGGATGGATGGGTAAAGGGTGAGGGTCTGGGGAGACCTCTTCCCCACAATTGGGTATTGAAGGATGTGCTGAGGGGGAGGAGAGAGGGGGAGAGTATCTAGAAGCACAGGTAGAGGTGGCAAAGGCGGAAGGAGCAGGCAGCAGAAGACCTGGCGCTCCCTGCTCTCCAAACCTATTGGTGATGAGAACTGCATTTAGTGTATTTGTTGGAGACTCATCCTCAACTCTCCCAAGGGGCCACTGTCCCAGGCAACCCAAAGGTATCTATGGCCACCGTAAACTGGGCTCCCTGCCAAGCAAAAGGAGCACAATTCATCAGGAGGGAGGTGCCCTTCAAGAAAAGAAAGGGGAGAGGGGCCCTAGAGGTGGAGGACAGGGCCAAGTAGCAGGAGGCCAGCCTCACTCAGGCTGATGCAGTGCCCAGACGTGCCAGCCAATCAGCCCGCTTGAGTTCCAAGGCCTGCAGGAAACCTTGGACTCGCTCTTCCCGTCTGGCTGAGAGTTTGTGCAAGCGTGTCCTTCGGAGCTGGGCGTCCCCACCGGCCGGGAGCCCCTCTTGCAGCAGCTGCTCTGTCACTGCAGCCTGGTCCCTCTCCAGCTGCTGCCTCTTCCGCTCCTCTGCATACATGTCTCGGGCCTTCTGCTAAAGAGAAGTGGGAGTTGGGGGAGATCACTGGGAAGATCATTTTTAGGCATAAGTGGGGCACAGAGCAGGCCAAGTTAAGTACAACAGTGGGCAAGTTGTACAAGATTGGGAAGGTTAGGCAATAGGTGTGTGATGGTGGTGACCATGTGCAGGGAGGGGAGTGGAAGTTCTGGGTCCATCTTGGTTTGTTTTGGGTGGAAGCATCTGTATTTCTTGAAATTCTCAGGTTTGCACTTAGGGAACCAGAAAATATGGATGGATCTGATTTCTGGTTTCCCCAGCTAGCTTTGTGGCTTTGATTAAATCCTCTCCTTACCTCATTTCTTCATCGGTAAAGTGGGGGTTGTGCCTACCTTGAAGAGTGATTTTAAGGATTAGAGCTAATATATGCAAAACCCTTTCTAGCATATTAGCAGGCTTTCAAACAGCAATTTTACTGTTATTACTATCTGTTCTCTATTGTAAGGAAGGTTCTATTTCCTGCTTGGGGCATATCCATGGTGCCATTTCCCTTTGGTTTCCCAGGTCACCCTAAGGGTGTCATTCTCCTAATTCTTTTTTTTTTTTTTTTTAATATATTTTATTGATTTTGTACAGAGAGGAAGGGAGAGAGATAGAGTCAGTAACACTGATGAGAGAAAGTCATCGATCAGCTGCCTCTTGCACACCCCCTACTGGGGATATGCCACAACCAAGGTACATACATGCCCTTGACCCGAATCGAACCCGGGACCTTTCAGTCCCCAAGCCGATGCTCTATCCATTGAGCCAAACCGGTTTTGGCTCATTCTCCTAATTCTTTTTTTTTTTTTTTTTTTTTTTCCCCCCCCCAGACCTGCTGCAGGCGAGCCTTCCTTGATGCCTGAAGTTGTCTCCCAGGGCTCCCTTTGAGCTCATTCTCCTAATCCTTTAAGCTATTTTTTCAGAGTTGGGTTCCAGACTTGCCTACTGTATAGGGACCAGCTGATTCTTCCAGCAAATGACCTTTCTGTTCAGCACTCTTAAGCCACTTATTGATTTCTGCCCAGGAGAGTAAGTATTAATGTCCATAGTCCACAATCTACTTTTCCTGTTAGAAAATAAGCTCCTGGAACTTGCTCTGACATCAGGTAGGTGATCATACTCACAGCAGCACTTCTTATACCCTGTGTGTGTCTCCAAATAAATCATAAACTCTTAGAGGCAGAAACTGTGGCTTTTCCTCTGGCACTTGGGGCATCCTGTATGTGTGAAATACTCAACTGACCGATCATGTGGTCCCAGGAGGGCACGGAGGATGGCTGTGGGGAGGGGGAAATCCCTTTGGAGCAGAACTAAGACCCTCTGTTCCTCACTGATGCACTCTGCTCCTGCCACTTTAACGGGCTGTACCTTGTGCCAAAGCCAAGTGAGAAACTGCTTTGCCGCCAACTTGGTATCCTATACTCTGGTAACCCTTACCACATAACTCCATTGTATATTACTGTATTTTTGTACATGTCTCTGTGCTACTCAGCCTGTAAACATCTGGACTGCTGAATTCATCCTTTAAGGAATATAGTTAAACCTCAGTTCTCCAACGTCTCCCACCTCGAATAATTTGTTCATGAAAGAAATGTCTTGGTTGTTGAACAAAACTTGGATTTCAATCTGACAGCCTTTCATGCTAACACCTGTATGATCACTCAGTTTTCTTATGCAACAAACAAAGGAGAGAATTCAAGAGTATGAGTCAGTTTACCACTAAACCTCCTGTTGCTAACGTCTTAGGAAATTGTGCTGTCAGTATTTTCATATCTTTTTTATTTTGTTGCTGCTTATTATTATTAAATACATACAGTGAATCACCATGGGTCCTAAGAAGTTTAGTGATAGCAGCAATGTGAAAAAGAAACTTGTGAGAGCAATGATAGAGCTTAAAAAAGGAAGTAAGCCTGGCTAGTGTGGCTCAGTGGTTGAGTGTAGACCCATAAACCAAGAAGTCACTGGTTTGATTCCCCGTCAGGGCACATGCCCAGATTAGGGGACAGATCCCTGGTAGGGGGTGTACAGGTGGCAATTGATTGATGTTGATGTTTCTGTTTTACGGATGTTTCTCTCTCTCTTCCTTCCTCTCCCTCTAAGATCAATAAAAACATATTTAAAAAAGAAAAGAAGTAATTGCAAAGTACGTTAGAGGTATCCCTCTGTCTAATATGGCTACTGAGTTTGGCGTGGCAAAATTGACAATTAGAACAATTTTAAAACATTAAGAGGCCATCAAGAGTGATGTTGCTAAGGTAGTGAAAGTGCTCACGAAACAATGATCAAAAGCAATTGAGATAGATTAAAATAGAATCATTTGAGGGACTAGAATGGATTATTTCAATTCACATTATTTCTAATGGGAATTATATTCAGTTTTCAAACAAATTGCTTCTTGAACAGCCTTCCAGATCGAATTAATTTCAAGAACCAAGATACCACTGTATCTTCCATGTGCAACAAGCACTGACTCTTGCAACAAAGATAGAAAGGTTCTTTCTGTTGGAGACAGACATGGAGGTTGAGAATAGGAAGTGATTTGCTAACGCCTCTCCGTAATAAAAGTTTACTGCATAAATGAAAATTCTGGAATATTCTCCTCTAGGTATTCAAGGGTACTCTTCTGCTATGATAATGAACTCATATGTAGAGCTATGAAGACTAAAACGGGCTTGAGAAGTTGTCTAGTCAGAGAAACCATGGGTCCTATGTAATTGACCTTATGTGGGGATAGGGAGATGCTCAGGATACAGTCTAAGCAAGCACGTGGCTAAATAGGCTGATTAAGACACAGATCTCTACACAAAGTCCCATACTACCGGTAGGATGTAGTAAGGACCATCAAGGAGGCAAGAGAAAAGGCCATGCAGCCTAGAGGAGAGAAAAATTGTGGCCATGAAGGTCAAGGAGCAGTGAAACCTCATGGATAGGCAATATCTGAGCTGCGCTTTAACTAATGGGGAGGAACTGGATAAAGATGCGGTGTGTATGGTCGGGAAGAATATCAGGTAATGGAACAATGAGCCAAGACACATGAAATTGATTGAAGAGCTTGGTCAGGCCAGAGTGAGTCCTCTTGTAGCTCTGGAATTCCAGAAGTTCCTATCCAAAGAACTCGCCTCTAGGCTTTTTTTTTTTTTTTTTTTTTTTTTAACATTTTTATAAGGGTTTCATAAAAACTCTTTGGCTCAGTGGATAGAGCATCTGCCTGTGGACTGAAGGGTTCCAGGTTTGATTCTGGACAAGGGCATGTACATTGGTTGTGGGCACATCCCTGGTAGGGGGTGTGCAGGAGGCAGCTGGTCGATGCTCCTCTCTCATCGATGTTTCTAGCTCTGTCCCTCTCCCTTCCTCTCTGTGAAAAATCAATAGGAAAAATAAATAAATAAATAAATAAATTTATTATTTTTATAGTTTTATCTGAGCCAAATGCTTTTGACTAAGCCTAATTTTAAAAAAAAAATATTTTATTGATTTTTCACAGAGAGGAAGGGAAAGGGATAGATAGCCAGAAACATCGATGAGAGAGAATCATCGATCAGCTGCCTCCTGTACATCCCCCACCGGTGATGTGCCCGCAACCAATGTACATGCCCTTGACTGGAATTGAACCTAGGACCTTTCAGTCCGCAGACCGACGCTCTATCCACTGAGCCAAACCATTTTCAGCTAAGCCTAATTCTTTATCTATAAAATGGGGATGACAGTATCCACCTCACAGGGTGATTTGAGGAAAATGAAATAATATAGTTCCAATCTGGTGCCTGCTATTAATGTTTAGATGTCCTTTTATCAGTACCGCTGTGGCTATGGCTAAATGAGTATGTTCTGGCAGGACAGAAAGGATGTGCCACCCCATCACAGAGGGAAGGAGTACAGAGCTGGTTAAAGTTGCTCTATGAAGCTCAGGCATCTTGCAAATAGCACCTTCAGTCTGAGTGCTGGGCAGGGAGGCTCCAGCTAAGGCAAAGCCTGGCCCCTATGTGCCAGGAATCAGCAAGTCACTGTTAGGATGATGGAGACAGGGAAAATCCTAAAGGATCACTAAAGGCTGAAGGAACATGGCCTAAGTCAGTGGTCAGCAAACTCATTAGTCAACAGAGCCAAATATCAACAGTACAATGATTGAAATTTCTTTTGAGAGCCAAATTTTTTAAACTTAAACTTCTTCTAATGGCACTTCTTCAAAATAGACTCACCCAGGCCGTGGTATTTTGTAGAAGAGCTACACTCAAGGGGCCAAAGAGCCACATGTGGCTCAAAAGCTGCAGTTTGCCGACCACGGGCCTAGGTCACATGGTGGGTTGAAGTTCCCTTGGTGTCTCCACAAAGGTGGCTTCTTGAGATGAGTTAAATAAGAAAACTCACACAAAAACACCTAAGTAGACCCTCAACATGTTAGCTGCCACCATCACACACACTGCCATTATTATTAAGAGTTCTCGGCCTTCTAATGAAACCTGTTTCGAGATCTGGTGATCAAAGCTATGACCTTCAGGGAATAATGGCCTATTTCTCTTAGAAGTCTTTCCTGGGTTGCTGTAGTAAAGAGAGTAAAGACTTGTAATTTGAATCTAAGTTCTATCTCTTATTGGTTGTGTCGTTAATAAAATCATTTTGATTTATACATTTGCACAAATGGGGCTAATAATACCTATCTCATTGGGTTCTTGGGAGTATTAGATGAAATAGTGTATAGAAAATATTCACTGTGCCTGACACATAGTAAATACACAGCAAGTGAAAGCTACTATCATCATTCTTAACACACTTATTTGCTGGTGTCTGATATATATCTAGTATGTGGTCAATCAATGCTCACCTGGTCTTCCATCCCCTCGGTCAGGCCAGCCCTGAAGCAGGCTTTGGATCCTCTAGTACCATACCTGATGAATGCTATGGTTCACCTGGAACTGACCTGAAGCATGCTATGGTTCATCTGGAACTGAAGGATGGCTTCACAGAGGTTCCAAAACATGTATTCTGGCCACAGGACAGGCTGGAACACCAGGCAGGAGTGGGAGGTCTGGGAAAAGGGAGGAGGAAGATAATTTAGTTTAGTATCATGTTGCTGGGCATATCCTTGGGCGGCAAGGTTCCAGGGGAGGAGGCTGAGCAGGACCCAGAAACCCAGAGATGAGATCGCACAGGCATCCTGAGCTGCAGCTGCTGCCACCAGCCCTGATTATTGACTAATAGGGCAGGAGTCTGAGGCAGTTAGATCACCTGCCTGTAGCAAGAGTGAACTAAAACACTAGACCAACATTTTCACCAGGATTTTTCTAGGAGCCAAGTTTAGGACTTGGATTATGTTATTTTGGCTCTTGACCCTTATAGGTCATCTGGGAAACACAGTGTCTGGTAAAGTCAGCAGTGAACAATTGGTAGCTGCCATTGTTACTTTTTAACAATATTTGTTTGTTTGTTTGTTAATTTTCACCCAAGGATATTTTTCCATTGATCTTTAGAGAGAAGGGAAGGGAGGGAGAGAGAGAGACGTCGATGTGAGAGAGGTACTGGTTGCCTCCTGCACGCGCCCCAACCGGGGCTGGGGATCAAATCTGCAACTGAGCCCCTGACCAGAATCGAACCTGGGACCCTTTAGTCCGTGGCCGACATTTTATCCACTGAACCAAACAGAGCTAGGGCTGCCATTGTTATTTTTAAGAAGCAGAATGTGGCACAGTGGTTAAAGCATGAGCTCTGGGGCCAGACTACCTGGCTCTCCCATTTATCTTCTATTTGACTTGAGGCAAGTTACCTAACCTCACTGGGTCTCAGTTTTCTCAACTGTAAAACTTGAGTAATAAAAATACCTGGTTTTGCCGGAACCGGTTTGGCTCAATGGATAGAGCATCGACCTGTGGACTGAAAGGTCCCGAGTTCGATTCCGGTCAAGGGCATGTACCTTGGTTGCGGGCACATCCCCAGTATGGGGTGTGCAAGAGGCAGTTGATCGATGATTCTCTCTCATTGATGTTTCTAACTCTCTATCCCTCTCTCTTCCTCTCTGTAAAAAAATCAATAAAATATATTTTAAAAAAAAACACACCTGGTTTTTAAAGTAGTACTATGAAAATTAAACAGGTTAATATACAGAAAGCAGTCAGCACAGAGCTGGATAAACTTTAATAACCTCCACTGATGTGAGAGTCCCTTTGGAACATTCTTGACAGCCCCTGTGGGAGACCTTTAGGGCATCCAGGAATTCAGCGCCTCAAGGGGGATAACTCTAGTTGTGGAAACCAATGCCACCTTCCCTGGAACTTCTATCATGATCTCAGATCTTTTCTCTGGAACAAGTCTGTTTCTTCTTCAAAGTGACATTCTTTCAAATATCTGAAGGTTAAGTTAGGGCTGCCTATTATTATCTGTTGCCAAGGTTGTAATGACTTGTTCACTTGGTCTTTGCCAACAAATGTAAATTTTAAGATAGTAGGGATTATTTCTGACTTGGTCACTGTAACCTTCCCAGCACAAAGCAGGAACTCAATCTTTTTTCCCCAAGGGAAACAACTGTCATCATGCTTCCCTTTTCAGAACACCATCCTTCACTCATTCTTTGTTAAGATGTGAGTTCCAGGTTCCTTGCCATCCAGGTTGGCCTCTTCTGGAAAGTCCTCTAAGTTTACCAAGTAGTCTCTTAAAACTCTGCGCAGACATGATCTGACCAGTAGAGTAGGCCACAGAACCATAAGCAGCACATTATACTTCAATATAGCCAAACACTGAAAGTATCTTCAGTAGCTAAATCTCGTTATTTCACTTTTAAGACTATGGTCCATTAGGATTTCTAGAATTTTATCATGTGAATTGCTTCCAAGCTGAGTCTCTCCCTCCAACCTCACCTTAAACAAAGACTTTCCCTGTGATGTGTACCCAGGAACCGTTAACAAATGATAGACTTTTGAGCAAAGGCAAACTTATTTGACTCTGAGCTTTTGGGGGAGTACCTACATTGGGGGAACCGGCCTGAGGACAGTGGCCCCTAAGAAACTGTTTGCATTTAGCTTATATCCCCTGTGGACTATGCTTGAACAGATGCAGCCCTTTATTCTGAAGGAGACAGGCAAGTAACTGCAAAGCAAGGTTCTATCCCAGAGGAGCTGGGGTACCAGGGCAGGAGATCATACTCAGGAACAAGAGTCCGAAGCCCAATTCCTTGAACATGGCACAGGTAAAGTTTTCATCACAGTTGACTAGCCATGATTTTTGTCCTCTAGGAATGTTAGGGAGTAAGGACACAGTTCTCATAGCTAGGGATAGATAAGAAAGGCATAGCAAACATTAACATTTCTCCATTTATTATAGGTCTCCTTCCCCACAAGGTTCTCTGTGGCTGCATGGCTGGAAGTGGGGATGAGCCCCTCCAATCCATTCTATGGGTGCAATGCGGTTTTCAGCTAACACTAACAGAACGGTGTTCGAAACTACCTACCTGCCAGAGCAGGAAGTCGCTGAGCCTCACTTCCCCAGAAGTCCGTATCAAGATGTCGGGATTGGGAGAATGGTTGGTATAGAGGCACTTATCAAGCAGAGACTCGGAGACATCACTAAAGTGAGTGGAGAAGAGACAAAGGTAAGCACACACCTCTTTTTGGATTTTTCTCAGGGTGATATAAGGCTTCCCAGATTACACAATACCATCAAATATATTAGTCAATACTACCTAGTACACAGAGGCCCTCACAAAATGCTTAATAAATTAAGGAACCTGAGGCTCAAAGAAGATGATTAGTTGGCTCAAAGTCATTTGGCCAAAGGCCTAAAACCAAATGCACCCACTTAAAACATCTTATTTTTGCTGAGCCACACTCAGTGTGGCCAAGCAGTTGAGTGTCAACTCAGGAACCAAGAGGGTGCCCGTTCAACTCCCTGTCAGGACACATGCCCAGGTTGTGGACTCAGTTCCCAGTAGGGGGTATGCAGGAGACAGCTGATAGATGATGTTTCTCACTCATTGATATCTCTATCTCTTTATCCCTCTCCCTTCCCTCCTCTATAAAAATCAATGAAAACATATTTTAGAAATACTTCATTTGTGAGCCAGTAAAATAGTGATAATTGACAAAGTATATTAAGTACTTTCATTTTTTTAAAAAATCTTGAGGGTTTTTTTTTGTTTTGTTTTGTTTTCAAATTTAAAAAATATTTTTATTGACTGGTACAATCACTATGGAAAACTGCCTGGTGATTCCTAAAAAAATTAAGAATATCCTAAACCGGTTTGGCTCAGTGGATAGAGCGTCGGCCTGTGGACTGAAAGGTCCCAGGTTCATTTCTGGTCAAGGGCATGTACCTTGGTTGCGGGCACATCCCCAGTAGGGGGTGTGCAGGAGGCAGCTGATCGATGTTTCTCTCTCATCGATGTTTCTAACTCTGTCCCCCTCTTCCTCTCTGTAAAAAATCAATTAAATATATTTTAAAAATTAAGAATAGCCGGGACCGGTTTGGCTCAGTGGATAGAGCGTCGGCTTGGGGACTGAAAGGTCCCGGGTTTGATTCCGGTCAAGGGCATGTACCTTGATTGCGGGCATATCCCCAGTGGGGGGGTGTGCAAGAGGCAGCTGATCGATGACTCTCTCTCATCGATGTTTCTAGCTCTCTCTCTCTCTCCCTTCCTCTCTGTACAAAATCAATAAAATAAAAAATTAAGAATAGAGTTACCATACCACCCAGAAATCCCTCTCCTAGGTATATACTTGAAAACATGTATTTTCAAAGATATATGCATCCCTACGTTCACTGCAGCATCATTCATAGTGGCCAAGACATGGAAATATCCTGTGATAGAGGACTGGATACAGAAGATGTGGCGTATACACGCAATGGATACAACTCAACCATAAGAAAGGAGGAAATACTGCCATTTGCAATAACATGAATGGACCTTGAAAATATTATGCTAAGTGAAATAGTTCAATCAGAAAAAACTAAGAATCATCTGATTTCACTCATATGTGGGATATAAAATTGAAACTTGTGGACACAAACAGCAATGTAGTGGTTGTCAGAGGGAAGGCGTGAGGGTTGAAGGGATCCTAATATATGGTGACAGGAGAAGATTTGACTTTTGGTGGTGGCCACAGAGTGCAATATACAGATCTTGTAACATAGAAACCCATACCTGAAACCTGTATGATCATATTAACCAATGTCACCCCAATACATTTAAAAAAAATAAAAATAAAAAAACAAAGCCAAACAAAATAAAACAAAACAGCCCAGCCAACATGGCTCAGTGGTTGAGTGTTGACATATGAACCAGAAGATCACAGTTCATTCAATTCCCAGTCAGAGCACATGCCCAGTTGTAGACACAATCCCCAGTGTGGGGCATAGAGGAGGCAGCTGATCTATGATTCATTATTGATGTTTCTATCTCTCGCCCCCTCTCCCTTCCTTTCTCTGAAATGAATAAAAACATACTTAAAAAGCAAACACAGCATAGACTTTGGAGGTAGATACAGTTGACTGGAATCCAGGCTGTTCCATTTAACAGCATACATTACTTTGGGTAGGTCAACTAACCTTTTTAAACCTCTGTTAATTGGATTTATAAAATGGGGCAAATAATAGTCACTACCTTACATGAAAATGAAATGAGAATATGTGTAATAAAGTCTTAGTCTAGTACCTACCCCATAATAAGATCCAATAAATATTAGTAACTTTTTTAATATTGTATTTTTGTTCATGTTAACTTGCCTATATATCACACTCTAAGTACACCATTTATATATATAAAAGGCTAAGTGACTGGCTGACCATTTGACGGTAGCTATGATGCGCACTGGCCACCAGGGGGCAGACACTCCAAGCAGGAGCTGCCCAGCTGCAGTGACTTGGCAGTGGCAGTTCTTGGGTGATGGACCTGGAACCAGAGAAGAGGGAGCCTGATTCTGGGGTGCGTTATCCAAGAACTGCCCTCTCACAATCCGGGACCCCTCAGGGAATGCTAGAGAGCTGGTTTTTGTCCAATCCCCGCAGGCCAAGATGAGGGACCCCGTGCTCTGAACTTCTAGTAGTGGATGAAACAGCAAAACCCTGGGGCCAAGTTGAAATCCTGGCACCAAGCTTTGCCAACTAGGTGGGCTTGAACAAGTTACTTAACTTCCTTATATCTCAATATTCTCATATTAAAAATGGTGATAAAAAATACCTACCTCACAGCCTCTAAAGCAGTGGTTCTCAACCTTTCAAATACCGTGACCCTTTAATACAATTCCTCATGATGTGGTGACCCCAACCATAAAATTATTTTCGTTGCTACTTCATAACTGTAATTTTGCTGTTAATGAATCGTAATGAAAATATCTGTGTTTTCCGATGGTTTTAAGCTCTTACAGCAGTAGGTCGCCTAAGACCATTGGAAAACACAGATATTTACATTACGATTCATAACAGTGGCAATGAAGTAGCAATGAAAATAATTTTATGGTTGGGGGTCACCACAACATGAGAAACTGTATTAAAAGATCGAAGCTTTAGAAAGATTGAGAACCATTGCTCTAATGGGTTAAATAAAATAAACTTGTATGGAGTACCTGGCAGATGCTTGGCAAAGAGTAAATGCTCAGTAAAGGTTAGCAATTATTAATATTGTTAACACTATTGTTCTAAGAGAAACACAGAGACCTACAGCGGGTCAAGTGACCTGCTCAAGGTAACTCAGTGAAAGAGTTTATTAACTGTCCTTTATGCTCAAACTAACCTCTTTCCTGTAATTCCAGATTCAAAAATCAATCTAACATTAATATATATTTTTTTAAAAATATACCCTGGAAGAAAGGAAAATGAAGAGTTGGATGATGGTAATTCGAGAATAGAAAAGTTATAGCTATTGGAAGGGTAGAGCCTAATTGTAATTAATTCATTAACTCTGTTATAAATGCAGATTTGTCTAAATTTAAATAATGTAAAGAGCAGTGCCTCAGGTCCTGATTACTAGACCCGTCTTAGCTGAACACCAAGATTCCTGAGCTGGTGGGTGGAGTCACCTGGCCCAGCCTACACCATGTCTGCATGACCAACCCCACATAGACAAGTTAGTAAGCCATGCAGGTCAGGGAAAACAGAAGTGGGAAAACTTGCTGGACAAGAAGCAGAAAGAAGATAAAGGTCAGTAGTTATTGGAATGTGGTATGAGTATAAAGTGCACTGAATTTAGGAGTCAAGATTAGAACACTAGTCTTAGGCAGAAATGCATATTACAATCTGTTTGCTACATAGCTTTCTTTCTAGCATAAACAATTGTCCCTTACTATTTTTTAATACATCCTTTGTTATTGTGAATACACACACACACACACACACACACACACACACACACACACACATATATATTATTGATTTCCGAGAGAAATGGAGAAAAATCAGTGATGAGAGAAAATAATTGAATAATTGATTGGCTGCCTCCTGTACACCCACTACTGGGATTGAGCCCGAAACCCAGGCATGTACCCTGACCAGGAATCGAACCATATATGACCTCCTGGTTCATAGACTGATGCTCAATCACTGAGCCACACCGGCCATACATCCCTTACTGTTTTTTATATACAGTTGACATATTCCACGTATAAGTAGACCTGCAGAGTTCAAACTCGTATTGTTTAAGGGTTAACTGTATTTTTGAACCATGGTTAGGAATCCAAGGTTGTGGAGGGCTGACTGTAATTATACATGGACTTTCAACTATGTGGGTGGTAAGTGGCCCTAACCCACCAACACATTGTTGAAAGATCAACTGTATTATTTCACTCACACAAAAGACTATATGAAACGTCAATTATAAAACACATTATAATGAATAATTATAAAATCACCCCCACGCCAAGAATTAGAAAATTACCAATAACTTGTTTCTACTTATATATCTCATCTTCTTGCCTGGTCCTAACCTTCAAAACTTACTATCTCAATTTTCCCTCCAATAGTTCATTTTAATTTCTTTCTCTCTTTTAAAAAAATATATATTTTATAGATTTTTTATAGAGAAGGGAGAGGGATAGAGAGTTAGAAACATTGATCAGCTGCCTCCTGCACACATCTTGCTGGGGATGTGCCTGCAACCAAGGTATATGCCCTTGATCAGAATTGAACCTGGGACCTTTCAGTCCACAGGCCAATGCTCTATCCACTGAGCCAAACCAGTTATGGCTTTAATTTCTTTTCTAAAACATTTTTATTGAGCCAAAACATAGGACCAGGCAAGAAGATGAGATATATAAGTAGAAACAAGAACTCTGGAATCAGCTTTAGAGAGGAGTCCTGGCTTTGGCATTTATTAGCAGAATGACCTTGGGAAAATAATTTCAATGCTGAGATCAGTTTTCTCATCTATTACATGGAGAAAAGACTCAAGTCTCTTACATATGAGGTTAATGACTTAATAAAATACAAATAACAGATTGCCTGGGCTATTGTTTGCTTCTATTATTTTACTGTTGCTCTTATTAGTTTAATAATATGAGAGGAACTGAGTAGCCAGGTGGCTTCTAAAGTTTCTCCGAGCTCTAATAATTAGGATTCTATTATGTTGCCAATGATGGGCAGTTTTCTTTTTGAAAAATACCTGAATCTTGCATAAAACTGTAACACGAGAGCCCCAAGAGATTATTCCCCCAACAAACTGCATTCCTGAAAAACAATTTTGAAAAAACACTGTCCAAGAGCCAGGAGGGTATCATTTTTTATCAAATACCACAGAGTTCTACCTGCTATGCCATTTTTTTTCTGGGGCTTCCTGGTGTGCAGTGAACATAGAGACATTCTGAGGCAAGCCCGCCCTCCCCTCCCCCCAGTCTTTCCACATGCTCGCCTGATTTGACTGGCCCAAGCACACGGCTTAGGAGGCATTTCATGGTTTGGTGCAGGCCTGGTTCCCCTGTCAGTGGCCACGCTAAATAGGGATACCTGGGTTCCAGCAGCCCCTGCTCCACTCCCCAGGCCATCTCTCTCACAGCATTGCTGATCTCGTGACGGGACGTGTATGCAAAGCAAACGTTCAGGAAACACCTGAGAAGGAAGAACAGAATAATTTACCAAAACAGGACAGAGACTGAGGATTGGAACCACTTATTCCTGAGCACCTTTCCCCTTGAAGAAAACACAACACCAAATGTTAACCGTAGACATCTCTGAAAGGTCAGATTATGAATTTTCAAAAATATATGTATTTTATTGATTTTAAAGAGGAAGGGAAAGAGAAAAAAAAATCGATGAGAGAGAATCATTGATCAGTAGCCTCCTGCATGCCCCCCACTGGGGAGCAAGCCTGCAGTCTGAGCATGTGCCCTTAATTGGAATCAAACCCAGGACCCTTCAGTCAACAGGCCAACGCTCTATCTACTGAGCCAAACCAGCTAGGGCAGATTATGAATTTTTTGTAATTTAATTTATTGGGATGACAATGGTTAACAAAATTATACAGGTTTAGGTCCACACATCCACAACACATTATCTGTACACTATATTGTGTGTTTACCACCCCAAGTGAAGTCTCCTTCCATCACCATTCATTCCCCCTATAATCTCCTCTACCTCTCCCTTACCCCCAAGATTATGAATTTTCCAAGTTTTCTTTAAATAAACATGTTACTAGCTTTGTAATAAGACAAGTATTAAATGACTTATTACCTTTCTAGTCCTCTCCCACTTCTATTACCAACCAGCTTTCAGAGGAAGAGAATCCACTGTGATATTAGCGGTCAAGGACACATACCACAAACAAGGAGATCAGACAGGAAATTTGATGCAAAACAAATCCACTGCCAAGCAAACACTATATTCCAGAGCAACACAAAATGAAGCCTGGATTCTTTTTTAAAAAAATATATTTCATTGATTTTTTTTACAGAGAGGAATAGAGAGTTAGAAACATCGATGAGAGAGAATCATCGACCAGCTGCCTCCTGCACACCCCCCACTGGGGATGTGCCTGCAACCAAGGTACATGTCCTTGACCGGAATCAAACCTGGGAACTTTCAGTCCGCAGGCTGACGCTCTATCCACTGAGCGAAACCAGTTTTGGCGAAGCCTGGATTTTTAAACTCTGTTCCCCTCTGCATCTGCACCACCTCCCAAGGTCATCCTATCTGTGGTTAAAAAAGTGAGACAAAAAAAGAATTTCTTGAAAGGAATTGTCTTCAGAGACAGAGATAAGGCTTGCTGCATTCCCACCCCATCTCTTGGAGAGGGTTGGGGGGAAGAGGTACATGAAATGAAGGAGGAAGAAGATGGGAAACTGTGTGAGTTGGTAAACACACATACAGCGCAGTACTGCAGAATCGTCTCTAAGCATCCAAAACTACCCCCTCAGTGTCTCTGACCACGGATGTCTCCCAGTAGAGGGAGTCAAAGACTGGTTCAGTCCTCAAGGGGCAATCCGAAAACTTACTGGTTGTAGTTCTTGGTAGCTTGCACAGCTTGTGCAATCAGCTCCTGGAGATCCAAGGGCAACAAATGCAGATCACCTAGGACCCGGATACATACTCCATGCTTCTGCAGTTTCTCCCTGATTGGGGACAAGGAGGCAGGGCTAGGACACAGCACTTGCTGAGCTGGAGGCAGGGTGCTTAGATGATACTCAGTTAGCAGTTTTGAGTGCTTTCCTGCATGTCAGGCACTGTCTTACATGTATTACTTCACTGCATCCCCCCCAAGAACTCTGAAAGGAGTTTGCCTCATTCCCCATGCTACAGTGGGAAACGGATAGGATAGTCAGACAGAGACTGCCCAAGATCATACACACATCAGTGTTGTGTCAAAATTGAAACCCAGGTCTGTTTGATTTGAAAATCCAAACTCTTTTCTTTTTTTTTCTTTTTTAATGTCTGTTTGTTTTTCATTGATTTCAGAGATAGGAAGAGAGAGAGAGAGACTCATCAATGATGAGAAAGAATCATCAGCTGCCTCCTACACACCTCCTACTAGGGATTGGACCCAAAACCCAGGCTTATGCCTTGACTGGGAATCTAACCGTGACATCCTGATCATGGGTCCAGGCTCAACCACTGAGCCACACCAACCAGCCGAAAATAACAACTCTTTACCACACAGGATGTCGCCTCATGTGTCCTTGTCGGCAAGTTGCATTTGACATATTCTGTGCTATGTTTGTCCCATTTTGACAACTAAAAAAACTTCTCAAGAGCAGGAGCTGTACTATTGGTTACTTTTGTATCTTCTGGAAAAATTTGGTAATAATCGTGACATCTAAAATACTTACATGTTTACTAAGTGCCGGTCAATAGTCTAACCACTTTCAGATATCTACCTGCACGTTCCATCCTTACACCAACCTTGGAGGCAGATATCATTGTCATTCACCTTTTACAGATGATGACAGTAGGCACAGGGAGATTGGGTGATTTGCTCAAAATCAGAAGCTGGTGAGTGGAGAGCCAGAATTTGAACCTAGGGAGTCTGGTTCCAGAGCCTGTCCTCCTCATCTTGACATTCCACAGCCTCTCTACAGCAACTCCCAAAAGGCAGTGAGCATGAACTCACTGTCACCCAGCCAGCTTCTCTACCGGGAAGGTGTGGAGAAACTGAACAACTAATGATTGGGAAATGAAAGCTTAGTAACAAGAAGTATACTGTAAAGTGGAGGTATCTGGCAGGTCCTGGAGAACCCTGATCCAGAGCTGAAGGCCACATCCACAGCCAATGCATCCTTTAACCCTCAACCACATTTCTTTAAGGGTGAAACGAGACCTAATCACCTACTTTTGAGAACCCACTGGAGCTACAGTACACAAATGTATACACAAATCAAAGCAAAACGTGAATAAGAATACCTAGATTTAAGTCCTAGTGCCAAATCTTGAATAACTACTTAGCCTCTCTGAGCCCAAGTCTCCCTCGCTCTGTAAATGGGGTAACCATCCCTGCCATAGTCTCAGTATCGGCTCGTGTTGAGTGAGAAAAAATACATGAATGTGCTTATTCTCAGGCACCGGGTGCATGACTTGAGCGAGGTCTATAAAGTAGAGGTTACTACAGCCTCGCCACAGTGATGCAGTTGGTTGAGCATCGTCCTGTGCACAGAAAGGATGCTGACTCGATTTTAGGTCAGTGCTTGGGTTGTGGGTTCAGTCCCCGATTGGGGCACACACAGAAGGCAACCGATCAATGTTTCTTTCTCAAATCCGTGTCTGCCTGTCTATTTCTCTCTCTCTCTTCCTTTAAGTGTGTCCTGTGTGAGGATTAAAAAAATAATAAAAATAAACTAGAGGTTATAGCAAAAGCCCTGGTGAGGAACCTGGAGACCTGGGTTCCCAATGTGGCTCTACCACTAGCTTGCTGTGTGACCATGAACAAGCTTTCTCTTCTCTTCACTAGGGTTTAGCTTCACAACTGATGAAGCTGAAGTAGGCCAGTGGTTTCCCAGCCTTCTTTTAGCCCGGGGGTGGGAACCTTTTTTCTGCCCAGGGCCATTTAGACATAACATCCATAGAGGCTCAGTGCACCACATTCATGCACTGGGGGGGTGGAGAGTGGGGGGATCCCTCAGCCTAGCCTGCACCCTTTGGCTGTCCGGGAGCCCTCAGGGAATGTCCAAATGACGATTTAGGCCCGCTTCCCTGCTGCAGTTGGACATCTCAGCACTGCTGCAGAGGTGGGAGCCACCATTGCTGCAGCGCTCGCCAGCCATCAGCCCGGCTTCTGGCTGAGAGAGGGAGCACACTGACCACCAGGGGGCAGCTCCAGCATTGAGTGTCTGCCCCCTGGTGGTCAATGCGCACATAGCAACCGATCATTCTGCTGTTCGGTCAATTTGCATATCACCCTTTTATTATATAGGATTTGCTAACTAGAATTCACTTAATATAAATTTATGTTGCTATGAAAAAAGCTCCTAGATTTATTGAATTTCGAGTCTGGCCTGTGGTTGCCTTGGCAGGATCAGACAAAACGATTTCACGAGTCTTATACTACCTGCGGGCCAGACGTTCCCTACCCCTATTTTACCCAAAGTATTCTTTCTTCAAATCAAATCATAAACAGAATCAAACCAGTACCCCATATGCCATTCCCTCTGGGTTCTTTGCACACCCAGAGAGAGTCTAGGGTTCTATCTCACATTGTTGGAAAACCACCACTAGGGTTTTTTCTTGCTCTGTCCGGGACTTCATAACCTAAGACTGTCTTTCCTACTGACTGATTAGAGTAATCTTAGTTGCATCTCTACCACCACGCATCTGATCTTTCAGGAACTGTAAGACTGCCTCCTAACATAGACAACAGCTTAGAGCTGGAGTCAGAAAGACCCTGTCTGTCTGGGCTCTGCCTCTCCAACAGCTGTGTGACTCAGGATACACACCTGAACTCCTCCAGGCTTTACTTCCCTCCTCTTTACAGTGGGGTGATATCGTTCTCACAGGGTAACGTGACTATTAAACGAGAATACATGTTAGGTTCAAGGCCTTGTGAGTACTTTAAAAAGCTAAGATTAGAGAGCAGTACAGAAAAATTTGAACACCTGGAATACGCGCTCATGCCTCCATCTCCAGCCCCTTGAGTGTGAACTCTGAGCCACAGGGACTCTGCTGAGAACCAGGGAGCAACGTCTGTGGCCCAGAGTCTCCCCATCCTAAAATGGACAGAGGAGCCTGGCTCCTCTCCCCTCCACACTGAGTCACACAGGGACAGAAAAGACACCAGTGTTCTAGGCCCAGCTTCACTGGAGTTCTCGGCTCTCTGTTCTCTCGTTGTCCTGGACCTGGATGGGAAGGTGCTGGGCGGAGAATGATTATAATGAAGACTTCTGGGCAGTCTGGGAAAGGGCTCCATACTTTAAAGCAAACAAACTCTCTCAATCTTCTCTGACCCTTTCTGGCTCTGCTCCCTAAGCTTAAACTTAATGACAGCTAACATTAAGTGATGCTTCCCCATAAAGACCTCTTCTGGATCATCCATGACTCCCAAGAGAATACAGTAACTTTTTAGAGATGACTGCACAGCAGAAAATGACTCAATGTTTCTCTCACTCAGCTTATTGGTCTTGGCATGGAAATGTGATCTAAGATGGGCTAACGAAAGGATCAAGTTCATTCTGGGCTCTTCTCGTGGAGCAGGGAAGCAGGTCTGTACAGAAAAGGAAATGTCCAAAGAGGTGCTACCTAATGGATATGAATCCTGGTTTCAGTTTTGATTGAGGCTGGTCTGACTTTGTCCTTGAATTCTGTGAAATACCTCTATATCCTCAATTAAATGTTCGCTTTGGAAAAACAAAACAGAAGAAAAACTAGCTTGTCATATTTGCTACTCCAGAGATCTGACTAACACTGAAAGGGTGCAAAGTTCCTTAAATAAGCCTCAGTAAGAGAGCTGAGGGATATTAGCATAATCCATATTAGCATAATGGACACAGATATTGGGGCGGTGGGGGCTTGTCCTCACTGGAGGTCCTGGAAGAACACCCTCCCCCACTGACAGCATCTTACTGCTCTTCCAGCAAACGGCCGAACTTCTGCCGGGCCATATCCATTAGCCCGTCCACTTCACTTTTGGAACGTTTGAAGTTCTCAATGCTGAACGCGTACACCGTCACCTCTCGGATGCCCAAGTTCAAACACCAGTGCAGAGTCTGAGAAGGGAGAAGACAAGGAGCTAAGGTGCAAGAAAGAGTAGGGAGGGAAATGAGATGCCTCGGCCCTGACTCAGGAAAGCATCAAGCTATGACCAATGCTTCTGTCAGAATATTGAATGAAATATGCAGAAAGCCACCACTGTAGAACCAAAATATGTGAACCTAATGAATACTACTAGGCTGATGCCACGGAGAGAATAAAAACCAGGTTCAAGCCGAAACCGGTTTGGCTCAGTGGATAGAGCGTCGGCCTGCGGACTGAAAGGTCCCGGGTTCAATTCGGTCAAGGGCATGTACCTTGGTTGCGGGCACATCCCCAGTAGGGGGTGTGCAAGAGGCAGCCGATCAACTATTCTCTTTATTAATGTTTCTTTCTCTCTCTCTCTCTCTCTCCCTTCCTCTCTGAAATCAATAATAATAATAATAATAATAATAAATAAATAAATAAATATATTTTTAAAATATATTTTATTGATTTTTGTACAGAGAGGAAGGGAGAGAGATAAGAGAGTTAGAAACATCAATGAGAGAGAGTCATTGATTAGCTGCTTCTTGCACACCCCCTACCGGGGATATGCCTGCAACCAAGGTACATGCCCTGGACCAGAATCGAACCTGGGGCCCTTCAGTCCCCAAGCCGACGCTCTATCCAATGAGCCAAATCGGTCCCGGCCAATAAAAATATATTAAAAAATAAAAATGCAAATAAAAAGAGATTACAATCCATCCCTCACAAAGTGGCTAATGAACAGTATAAAAACACAAGGTATTGTTACTCACAATGTAACTTCATTATTCTGGTAGACAAAGAGGCCAATGGGTTATAAGAAAAAAAGCAACATTTGAGTCTGCAAAGGGCTTTCACATATGCTATTTTTTTAAAAATATATTTTTATTGATTTTATACAGAGAGGAATTGAGAGGGACAGAGAGTTAGAAACGTCGATGAGAGAGAAACACCGACCAGCTGCCTCTTGCACACCCCACACTGGGGATGTGCCCACAACCAAGGTACATGCCCTTGACCGGAATTGAACCCGGGACCTTTCAGTCCGCAGGCCGACGCTCTATCCACTGAGTCAAACCGGTCCCGGCCACATATGCTATTTTAACTAATTCTTCAAACAACCCCCTGAGACTGGCATTATTGTTTTCATACCCACTGTATAGATGATAAAACTGAGGCTCAGAGGATTGAAGAAATGTGTTAAAAAGTCTACAATGAATCCATTATATGAACAAAAACTAATGTATGGTGATACCTCTTCAGCTTTATTTCTTTAGTTCTGTTTAAATGTCTTCTACCCCTTACCTTTAACCTCAAGGTTCCGTTTTAACACTAATCTCTTCATAGACATACACTCAAACCAGCTCCATGTCACCTTAGGAAGATCACCGGTGAGAATCCTGATACTTGAATAGGGTCAAGCTGGGTCTTACAGGGTCTTCGCTGGTACACTTGGGTTGGTATCCACCACTGACCTCACACAAAATACATGTCAAAAGGCTGCTCGCCTGTGGAGTAGCCACTCTGTCTCAGTGCTTCACTAATAAACTCTCTTTCACTTAAAAAAAAAAAAGAAAAAAAAGAAAAAAAGCCAATAGCAACAGCTTCATTTTTTGAGCACTTCCCTTATGCCAGGTTCTGTGCCACATGCTTTTCATTTTATATCTTGTTTAATCTTCACATAATCTCTGAGGTAGAGGTTATTGCTCTCCCCATTTTGCAGATCAAAGAAACTAGGCTAAACCGAAACCGGTTTGGCTCAGTGGATAGAGCGTCGTTCTGTGGACTGAAAGGTCCCGGGTTCAATTCCAGTCAGGGGCATATACCTTGGTTGTGGGCACATCCCCAGTGGAGGGTGTGCAGGGGGCAGCTGATCGATGTTTCTCTCTCATCGATGTTTCTAACTCTCTATCACTCTCTCTTCCTCTCTGTAAAAACTCAATAAAATATATTAAAAAAAGAAAAGAAAAAAAAGAAAGTAGGCTAAGAAATAGGGAACGACATAACTCCCTGCAGGTCAGAGAGCCAGGAGGTGGCAGAGCAGGGAGTAAGCACTAGGAAAAGCTGTCTCTCTCTTTTTTTATATATATATATATATGTTTTATTGATTTTTTACAGAGAGGAAAGGAGAGGGATAGAGAGCTAGAAACATTGATGAGAGAGAAACATTGACCAGCTGCCTCCTGCACACCCCCCCATGGGGATGTGCCTGCAACCAATGTACATGCCCTGGACCAGAATCGAACCCGGGTCCCTTCAGTCTGCAGACCGACACTCTATCCACTGAGCCAAACCGGTTTCGGCAAAAACTGTCCCTTAATCAGTCACAAAAGAGAAGCTGGGGTGAACAAACCTAAATACCTCCAAACAGTATGAAAGAGAACCCTCTGCCACTTGCTCAAGCAAAAAATATCACTGCTCCAGCATCAGGCCATGTTCTTGTGCCAGGAAGCTAGAGGCCATGTTTCCACTCTTCTTAAAGTTAGTTTCACAAGAATTAACATATTCCGATCTTACTGTTAGAGTCAATGTCTTCCAATCTGCAGTAGATATTAAGAACCATAAAATATTCATGATCTTTGCTTAAAGTGATTCCCCAGTTTGGCTCGTTTCCCGGTTTAAGCACTGAAAGAATTGTGTCCTGAGAAACCTCAGACTCAGGCAAACCAGAAAGAGCAGTCACTTCACTATTGCTCCAGAAACGTCAATTCTTAGAATTTATTCTAACATAGTACTATTCATCATGTCCAATGATAGTGGAGCAGCTAAACAAATTGTCAGCTCTTTATGATAACAGGCTCTACAGTCATTAAAATGTGTAGTTAGAAAGGAGATTTATATATATATATATATATATATGTATATATATATATATTAACCTAGAAAAATACTTGCAAAAATGTCAAGTAAAAACAAGGTTACTGAAGCTATAAATGGAATTTTATAAAAGTTAGGTCATGTTAGAACAAGTTACAAGGACTCGGATCAGGCACAAAAAAATTAACTGTTGCCGAAACCGGTTTGGCTCAGTGGTAGAGCGTCGGTCTGCGGACTGAAAGGTCCCAGGTTCGATTCCGGTCAAGGGCATGTACTTTGGTTGCGCGCACATCCCCGGTAGGGGGTGTGCAAGAGGCAGCTGGTCGATGTTTCTCTCTCATTGACGTTTCTAGCTCTCTATCCCTCTCTCCTCCTCTCTGTGAAAAATCAATAAAATAAAAATAAAAAAAAATTAACTGTTGATGGGTTAAAGGTGGAGAGAGATGGCAATTTTGTTCTTATTTCTAATATTTTGTGATGTGTCTGGATGATTCAGTTTTTGTTAATGTTGATATAACACCTATAGCTAGTAAGCAAGCAATAAAACAAACAGCTATACAAAACACTCAAAAAATAAATAAAAAGAAAAAAAACACTCTCACACCACAGCAAACTCAGGTTTTCTAGCTATAATCCAATTTTCTGCTCTGCCAACCGCACCCACCTCAGCCAGCTTGTTGAAGCCCTGTGAGTGGCCCTCCTGATGCTCCACTTGGCACTTCTTGGCATAGCGACGGTTCCCATCCATTATAAATGCAACATGTTTGGGTATTGGGCCTGCCTGTGAAGTAAGAAGACAAATGGTGAACACGTCACATACTCCTCAAAGAAAAAGGCATTACACCCTGAGCTGAGAGGCTTGAGCTAGATGATAAAAGCCCTGAAGAAGGGAATTGGGTACTTACTTGTTTATTTTTAAAAATTGATTTTAGACAGGAAGAAAGGGTGTAAAGAGGGGAGAGAGAGACACACACATACATTGATGTAAGAGAAATACATGAATCAGTTGCCTCCCACATACTTTGCAGGGGATTGAACCTGCAAAGTAGGTATGTGCCCTGACCAGGAATCAAACCCACCACCTATGGCACACGGGATGATGTTGCAACCAACTATGCCACCCCAACCAAGGCTACTTATTATTTTGTTAAATATGTATTTCTATTAATTTTAGAGAGGGAAAGAGAGAAGGAAACATCATCCCGTGCACCGTAAGGTTGTGGGTTTTTTTTTTTGTTTTTTGTTTTTAATATATTTTTATTGATTTTTTTACAGAGTGGAAGAGAGAGAGTAAGAAACATCGATGAGAGTCATCGATCAGCTGCCCCCTGCACACCCCTATGGGGAATGTGCCCGCAACCAAGGCACATGCCCTTGACCGGAATCGAACCCAGGACCCTTCAGTCCGCAGGCCGACGCTCTATCCACTGAGCCAAACCGGTTTCGGCAGGTTGTGGGTTTGATACCTACTTTGCAGGTTCAATTATTGATGAGAGAATCATTGATCAGCTGCCGCCTGGCTGCCCCAGTAGCCTGAATCCTGGGCATGTGTTCTGACCGGGAATGGAACCTTGACCTCCTGGTTCACAGGTCAATGTTCAATCACTGAGCCACGCCGGCTGGACCAAGGTTACTTATTTTTATTTATGTGTTTATTAAGCACTTATTACATGCCAAAAACTGTCCTAGGCTTTCTATACCTCACCTTAGTGTTTTTATCATGCAAAATCTATATATACTTTAGCTTTAGCTTCATTTTACAGGCGAAAAAACTGAGGCTCAGAGCAGTCAAGTAACTTGCACAAGTCACACAGCTAAAAGGCAAAGTGGGGATTTAAACCTAGGTTTCATCTTTTCACCATATGTTCATAACCATAACTTTGGTTTCGTTAGTCTACAACTGGAAGGGCCAGAAAGGATATATGACAGTGTGGTTGAATGGAGATATTCACTCCTCAGCTCTACCTGATTGCTGACACACAGAAACGGGGCCTAATATTGTTGGATCTTCTAATTTTACAAATGATGCCATTACTCAGGAATTTCATTAAAAAATAAATGTCAGGAGCCACTTCAAAGCAAACAAAGGACACTTTGGGGCCAAAGAAAACTTGGTATCTGGCTCACAGCAGCTTTTTGTTGTCTAACACAGCAAAGAGTCACTCCGTGGCCTATTGTCGTCACTGGAAGGGCTCTTCAAACTGCTTCCCCACACCTCTCCGTCATGTTCTACTTTTGTCTCCACATGCAGCCCTTTTAAAAAAAAAAAATGTTTTTATTGCTATCAGAGAAAGGGAGAGTGATGGAAACATCAATGATGAGAAGGAATCATCAATTGGCTGCCTTCCGCTCGCCCTCTCCTGGGGATCAAGCCCACAACCCAGGCACGTGCCCCAACTGAGAATCAAACTGTGACCTCCTGCCGAAACCGGTTTGGCTCAATGGATGGAGCCGTCGGCTTGGGGACTGAAGGGTCCCAGGTTCGATTCTGGTCAAGGGCATGTACCTTGGTTGCGGGCATATCCACAGTAGAGGGTGTGCAAGAGGCAGCTGATTGATGACTCTCTCTCGTCAATGTCTCTAACTATCTCTCTCCCTTCCTCTCTGTAAAAAATCAATAAAATATATTAAAAAAAAAAAAAAAAAAAGAACAAACTGTGACCTCCTGACTCATGGGTCACACCAGTGAGCCGCACTGGCTGGGATCCACATGCAGCCTTTAAAAGAAATGCCAACCAAGTCATGCAGCTTGTTCTTCCCAACACATGACTGCAGTGGTTGCCTGAGGAGGCATTTCCATATCTTGGCCTGCCTGAGTAATCTTGGTATTTGTGTTAGTGTGTGAACGGGTATAAGGCTTACTGACTCATAAATTCATTGCTACCCACTGCTTGACAGTCTGTGGCTGAAAACAAATCCAAGCTGACTAGCTTCCACCTCAAACCTATCATGGGCAGAGTATATAACATTGTTGTGAATATTAAGAGAACAAGCTGAAGGAAGATTTAAGAAAGCGAGGGAGAGTATAGGAAATGGAGGGATTGCAGTCGTGAAATGGCTAAAAGGCAGCCCCTGTAACAGTGGTAATTAACAGTGGTAATTAAGAATTGGCTCAATGGATAGAGCATCGGCTTGGGGACTGAAAGGTCCCGGGTTCGATTCCGGTCAAGGGCATGTACCTTAGTTGCGGGCATATCCCCAGTAGGGGGTGTGCAAGAGGCAGCTGATTGATGACTCTCTCATTGATGTTTCTACCTCTCTATCTCTCTCACTTCCTCTCTGTACAAAATCAATAAAATATATTAAAAAAAAAAAAAAAAAAGAACTGCTATAGGCTCTCTCTCTCTCTCTCCTTCTCTTGGGAGCATGCCCACACCTTTCTGTCCAAGTCTTCTTCCCCAGGCGCAGAACTTTTTTTTTTTTTTTTTAATATATTTTATTGATTTTACACAGAGAGGGATTGAGAGGGATAGTTAGAAATGTCGATGAGAGAGAAACATCGACCAGCTGCCTCTTGGGATGTGCCCACAACTAAGGTATGTGCCCTTGATCGGAATCGAACCCGGGACCCTTCAGTCCGCAGGCCGACGCTCTATCCACTGAGCCAAACCGGTTTCGGCATGCGCAGAACTTTTATTCTTCTCTCTCCTAAGCTCCAAGGACCCGTGCTTTTGCCTCTATAACTTCTTTCCTGAGCCCATTTCTTCTACTGCTCACTTCTACCTCTGTGACTTTCCAAATAAACTTTCTCTTATAGTATGAAAAAACACATGCACCTGCTAGACACTGAGCTTAAATGCTTTCCATGTATGTTTCACTTAATCCTCAAAAAACAACATGTAAAGTCACATGGTTCATAAGTGATAGGCGAGGGCTTCTGTTGTTGTTTTGTCTGTCCCCAAAAACCAAAACACAATCATTACAAACAAAGTTTAGTTAGTTTCTCTAAATCCAGAGGATAGTATTAAGAATAACAGTTAAAAGTCTCAGGGAAATAAATTTCAGTTCTCTACAAGGAAAACCTAATAGTCTATGCTGCCCAATGATATTAAGACTTGGATTTCCTGAAAATGTGAGTTAGGACAATGATCTGGCAGAAATGTAAGACCTAGAAGTTACCCTACAAAATTGCTAAATTCTACTCAGCATCGTGGATTACTCAATTTGAATTAACAGGATATGATACAAGATTACACAACTGGCCAGGTCAACTGGTGCTGTGGGCTCACCTTTATGATGTTGGCACAGAACCGCTCCCACAGTGTCAACTGTCCTTCTTTGATCCATGACATAGTTCTTGCCCGAGCGGAAGATAAGCCCCGAATACTAAGAAGATATCAATCGGGTAACCTTGGATAAACAGAAAGAGAACAGAAGTCACCAAGGCTTGCAGACAGCTGCGGCTGACTTGTAAGGGACTCACCCGGGCAACGGAGAGCAGCCAGCACTAGAACCCAAAGACTGGCCGAAGCCTCCCACCTTTCACCACCCGGAGCTGATCAATGAGCTAATGCATGGGACCTTTGGGGCGGAGGGCTTTCCCTGCTTCCATCCCCTTTTCCTCGGCATGTGCACGGGCTTTTCCCGAACCTCTAAGTCCGCTTCCAGCCGGATCACTGTGCCTACACTCCGATCCTTCCCCGCTTCTTCCCTCTCCATCTTCCCCCAGGCCGTTTCCCACCCCCCGCGCTCCCACGGACTAACCCCTTCAATTGTCATCCCCGATACCTCCTACCTCAGGGCCTCCCGGTTATTTATCCCCTCCCTTGTCTGTCCCCTCATTCCCATGGCTGCCTCCCCGTCCAGTCACCTCTCCTCTCGTTAACCGCTAGAACGCAGGATCAGCTCGGCTCTGCCGGCGCCTTCCACTGCCCCTGAGGACAGACACTTCCTCACGACGTGGCGCTGGGAGATGGCGTCATCACCATCCGTCCGGATACGCCCTCGATGGGCGTGGTCCTGCCAGCTCGGAGGCGGAGCCGCCCCAGCGTGCGCAGCCGCAGTTCGCGCTTTCCCCGGAGCCCAGAGCGTTGCGCGCTCACGTGACCGCATGGGGAGGGCGACGGGGCTCCAGGCCGCGCGCTGGGGGAGGCGGGGTCAAGGCCCCCGCGGGAGCGGAGAGGTCGTTAGCCGCCAGGGGGCTACGCTCCTCGGCCAGAATGGAGGGTTTCTCAGCTGCTGGTGGTATTCGGGCCTGCTGGGAAACGGTGTAAAGCCCCGTCCTGGCGGAAGGCCTCAGGAGGCCGCAGGACTGGGCGGCAGAGCCCCTCGTACAGGCCTAGGTGGATTTCATCGTTTGGGACGTTCGCAAGCGCGCAGACGCACTGTGTACCAACCCATTTGTGCTGATGTCGGGCACTCAGTGTTCAGGATGTGCAGGCTCTCAGGACCTACACTAAGGAAACCGGTTTTGAAGCCAGAAAGAGCTGTTTTAAGGGCTCTACTATTAAACAGGAAGGCCATCCGTTGACCCTAATAGAAAAATCACTCTGTACCAAATCTTCCCGGGAAACTGTTGCAGTAATTTGAGGCACTGACAAAGAAATTGGGAGTTCAATTTTCTCAAAATGAAAAAAAGCAGCAAAAAGAAACCTTTATAATTTTCAAAGAACCTTTTTATAGTTTCTCTCACCAAGGAATCGAGGCAAGAAATATGGCACTAGTAACCCCCCGTTCACTGTGCCTTCCACTCTTTCTGACCAATTAATTACTTTTACCAGGTTCTCCAGATGAGTAATCCACTCATGAACAGTATTTTAAGTTGTTAATTCTCACCCCAGGATATTTCTCCAAAGTGGAAAGAGTGAAACATGGATAGGAGAGAAACATATCTATTGGTTGCCTCCTGCATGGACTAGAGTCCAGCCTGGGAGGAGCCTGCAACCAAGGTGTGCCCTTAAACTGAACTGAACCGAGGACCCGCAGGCCAATGCTCTACCCATTGAGCCTGAGCCATACCAGCTAGGGCAATAGCGTATTTTCCATTCTTTCTGCTTTGCTTCAGCCTAGCTCAGTGGTCGGCAAACTGTGGGTCATGAGGCACATGTGACTCCTTGGCCCCTTAAGATTTTAGCAAAGGCCAGCTTAGGAGTACCCTAATTAAGTTAATAACAATGTTCGTACCTATGTAGTTTATGTTTAAAAATTTTGGCTCTCAAAAGAAATTTCAGCCAAAACGGTTTGGCTCAGTGGATAGGGCGTTGGCCTGCGGACTGAAAGGTTCCAGGTTCGATTCCGGTCAAGGGCATGTGCCTTGGTTGCGGGCACATCCCCAGTAGGGGGTGTGCAAGAGGCAGCTGATGGATGGTTCTCTCATGGATGTTTCTAACTCTCTATCCCTCTCCCTTCTCTCTGTAAAAAAAAAAAATCAATAAAATATATATTTTTTAAAAATTTCAATCGTTGTACTGTTGATCTTTGGCTCTGTTGACTGAGTTTGCAGACCACCGCCTAGCTGGCTTCAACAGCCTGCTTTGACTTTGGTACAGCCCTGGCCGATTTTTTCAACAGAACCCACAGACCAAAGGGTCACAGGTTTTATTGCCCGCCCCCCCCCCCCCTTAAAGGGCATATACATTGGTTGCAGGTTCCCCAGCCCCCATAGGAGTGGGTGTGGAGGCAACCAATTGAAGTTTCTATCTTCCCCTCCCTTCCACCCTCTAGAAATCAATGGCAAAAATATCCTCAAGTGAGAATTAACAAAAAATAAGACTGTGGGTACAAGGTATCTGGAGTGGATGTATAAAACTTATCCTTGTTCTCCTGTTGGTCAATTTCAGGAATAGCTGGTATACCTTTTTTTTTTCCTTTTTAAAGGAAAACATTCTTTTTTTCCTTTTTAAATTCTTTCCGTTAGGGGAAGGCTAGATGTTTAAAAAGCATTGTTCATTAGCAAGCTAGCAAACTTGGGCTCAAATAAAATGTTAAGGTGTTTTCTTATAGCCTCAATTTCCCGTGCCACAGGGTGCTTCAGGGGGTTAATTAATTAAGATTTGTAAAAGGATTTGAAAAGCAAGGGACAAGGTATTATTAGGGTCTCATGCCCCAAGGCATGGCCCCATCCTTTCATCCCAGCCAGTGGCAGAGACAAACCCATTCTTATGCCTGCCAGGCTCCTAATCCCCTCTTGAATGTGGCCATTTCCAAGGGAAGGACAAGAGGCCTACAAAAATCCACTGTAATGAGGTGCTAAGAAGACTGAACTTTCAAGATTCATTCCTATCAAATCAAAATGACTGAACGGACACTTAATGGTTCTTCTCTGACTTCTGAGTCCCAACCCAAGGAGGTGAGAATTATGGGAGGATAAAAGCACCTTAAATATCTTAACAAGGAGATGACAGTTTCAGTAGGAATAAGTCTTTATTCATTCATTTTATTTTCCCAGGGAAAAAATCAGCATGTGTTTTACAAAATGATAGCAAGTGGAAGTACCCGGCACAGCAAAATCAACCGTCAACTAAACAATCCCCGGTGATGGAGGTCACCAAAGCCCAAGGGGACTCAGTCCTCTGCAGTTTAGAAATGGGAAGGAATCAGGGAAAGAACAGACAGGTACATGCTTTCCTACCCTCCCTCCCTCCCACCCATAAATTCAAGATTTCACACAAAGCTTTGGTTTCTAGCAGTAAACATGGGAGTTACATTCGTTCGTCTCCTATTAAAAAATCTTGTGGCTACTTTGACATAAGTTTTTTTTTTTTTTGCACCGGCATAAAAGTTCCTGAGCGAATTGGATATACATTCATCTCCCCTTTCTTGGTTTCCTAACCCCATTTTCAAAAGGAAAGGCGCCATCATTGCTGCTCTCTACCGTAGGATTAGAAATTAAAACAGCAATCTGAATGTTTGGCATGAATCACATATCAAAGGATGGTCTTTACTCAGAATATTGGGAAGGACATTCTTAACTTCTTCAGGATTTTTGCACAAGTCATTTAAAAGATGGGGTGACAGCCCACACATTAAATGGGTATGCATGTGGGAAGATGGGCTTTTTGGGGTGCGGATAGAAGAGGGTCAGAGTCAAATTTTAAGGACAGAAGATCTGGTCCCAAATAGGAAATAGCGGAAGAGAAAGCAAAAGAAAGGATGGTTCAAGAACTCCAAGAAGAGGTGTTCCCAAGGTTATGTTTCAATCCTTTTTGCCTGGTGCAGAACCTTTTGTCAAAGATGCTTTGGCTATTTTTCTCAAAACAAAAAAGGTTGTAAACAATAAACCCCAAAAGAACATGGAGAAAGACCAACACATTTACACAGACTAGGCCACCTAGCAATCACCAAATCAGCTACTGTGAAGTCCTACAAAGCCCAGACAAACACAATAACTAGAAGGGGCAGCACTGGGGTGGGGGTGGGGGTGGGGGGGAGACAGGAACCCAGGATCACCCAATGCATGCTATTGCATTTGCCCCGTTTCAACAGTGAGGTAGGATTTCAGCGATCTCACAGCATGTTCACGAAACCTGCTTTTCTCCTTTAGCTACTAAGACACTAATCATTGCTGCAGCAGGGAAGGACACTGGCTCTGAGCACCACAAAGAAGCCATTGCTTATGGTGTCTCTGGAAGTCAAAGAGGAAAAAGCAAAGAGTTTTTAATGGTTAAGGAATGTAGTCATTGCTTCATATTATCCATCCCTGGGCAGCTCAAGATGGATAGAGGTAGTGTTCTTAAAAGCTCTTTATCAATACATACATACACCTTGTTGTGCCTGGTAGGCCCTAGCCCAATCCAGTTAGGGGTGGATTTGGTATGTAATGTGAGTCCCAAACCCCTGGGATTGCAGGTATAGGACAGGAATCCTTGGTTACACATATATAGACATCCTGCATCTAACCTTGACTTCCCCTCTGTGCCTTTCACCTCGCCCAGCCTCTCCTAACCTTTGCACCAACCACTGATTCCTGTTCAGACCAATTTCCAGTCTTCTAATAGGAGATATCAAGGAATGAGGCTACCCCATTAAATTCTAGTCATCCACAAAACATTAAAGGTGGAGGGGTTTCAAGAGGATACTATGGCAGAAAATCCGGCTCTAATTGGCAAAAATGAGGTAGTTCCATAGACTATACACTCCAAATAGGTGTTCTCCCTGATGCAAAAACGAAGTATTCCTACTGTGCAGACCCGGAGCTCCTGCCCACTTATCCCTGAGATTGCTCATGTACCTGAGAACACAGTGCAGGAAGGAGGGCTGTAGATTAAAATACACAAAAATACAAACCCAGAATATTTATATTACGAAAAAGAAAAAAAGAAAGTCTAAATGCACAAGATACGTCGTTCGCACA